TTAATTCTCTCCCCCATCCCCGGGAGGCGGGCGGTAAGTGAGTAGTTGTTGTGGTATTTTGTTGCTAGCCAAGGTCAAAACTACAACACCCTATCCATTTCTGCTGCCTTTTCCTATTCCTTACAAACACTGACTATTTATGCTTTCCTAGTCTTTCTATTAGTGAGCCAGGAAAAGCAAATAGTGTGATGCAGTTAAATTACATTGATGCATGTGTTTCCCTCCTTCTGTGTCTCAGAGCCTGCTTGTTGCATGCCTGTCGGGTCTTGCTGCTGCTGCTGGAGAAGCAATCAGCAAGAATTCCTTTCTCAAAGGCTTGGCTGCTGCAATAGCTTTATGTCCTCCCATGATCCTAGGTTTAACCAGGGAAGTAAACCACTCTTGCCTGGAGCTAGATATCAAGGTGGTTGCTCTCTGTTAGGACCTCTTTTTAATAAAGTGCCTTGTCTTTGCAAGATTTGTCTTTCTTTTTGATTTTCTTCCTCAGTACTGCAAATCTAGCTTGGAAAGGATAAAGTTACACAGATAGAAACATCCTATGCATCACAGAATCATAGCAGTGCAGAGTACTCCTGTGCTCTCACAGTATTCCACAGGAAGCTCTATTCAGTGCTGAGAGGGAGACATCCGGGGAGGTGTAGATTTGGTAGGATAATCACTGAGTACAAAGAAGTATTTGATTCATCTCGGTGCAACCGCTCCTGCCTCAGTCCTCGGAGCAGGGTTGTAGGGCTGGGCTAATGAGGTTAATGAGATTGTCTGGGAAAGGATTTTCTTCTCTGTGTGTCTTCTCAACTGTTTGGGACAAAAATCACATTTCATTATGTATCATGATGGCTAGAACAACTGTTGTTTTTATGTACAAATGAGCGTCTCGTCTAGATAATGGTGACTCTCACAGGTCAGACTTCCAGATGCATCATTATACTGGCATGCTCTAGGCAAATTCTAACAGCCTGTGTTTCCACTACATTTATCCTCTGATCAACAAAATGATATCCATGTTGAAGTCTTAGACCTTTTTCTTTTGAGATCCTTAGTTGATCTGAAAAAAATTCCTTCACATTCTTCATTCTTTAATAAATTAGCAGCTTTCTTGGGTGGAGAGGGAGTGCCTTCTAGAAGGGTAGCGCTCAGACTTTGAGGGATAAATGGAGGCCGAGAGAGCTGACAGAATGCAAGGGAGGCTTTTTGTATCAGTATCTGAAAGAAATTTCATTAGGAACCAAGACAACAATTCTTCACCTTCTATTCCATCAACATACAGACTTTTTCAGTCTACTTCCATATGATTAAAAGAAATGACATGACAGACACCTATAGGTATGACCACCACTTGCCATTTTTGGAAAGAAATGAAACTTTCTCTTACTGTATAATTGGTACAATTTTGGGAGACAATAAGTCATTATGGTATAGAGGGAGAAAAGAGAAGAGAATCTTTTCCCTCCAATCAAATGTGTGATTCACTTGTCCATAATTCGAATGACAGACCTACAGCTAAAACGAGGTTGAAAATGACCTCTTGCTGAATTTCTCATCTCACAAAGCACTATCTAGAAAATTAATTCCAGTCTTCACATCCAGTGTCACAAAGAAGAATATCCAAAAGATGAAACAGAACTTTGGTGATTTTCTTGCAGTTCAGTCTCCATTCCTAATAATCTCCAGAAAGCTGCCTGTGTATCTGTGAGAAGCTTTAATCTGAGAGGAGTTTTTTAAATAGTTTCTAATAAACAAAAATCACAAGTTGAAAAATTAACTCAGAAGGAAAAAAAATGACAATGAAAATATTTAGAAATAAAAAAGCAAAAATTGTCCAGGCAGTCTTGGCAACAAGAAGGTGTAAGGGAAACTAAAAAGATTTACTTAACAGCCATGCTTGTATTTCTTCTAACGATGTAATTGCTTCAGTGCAAAGAAACCAAACTTAGGTAAACTAATCCTAAACTGAGGTTGTTCTGGTTCTACTAATTCCTGATTAGCATTTTATGAACAGAGGTGTATTTCTGAAAGTGGTCATTACAGCTCAGCAGTCTCTATCGGTGTCCCAGCTTTTCAATGTCATCATAGCCTCTGTCTCCAAGATCTGGGGATGAATCTCTCTCAGCCTCGGAGGTCCTGTTTCCTGACTCATTAGGACTCCACTCTGAAACCATGAAAGGAAGAACACAGATAAATGCACATGCTGTATGTATTACCATTATATGGTTGTGCAGCTGGCAGCTTGGGCTGTCTGCTGTCTTCTCCAGAAATTACAACCATAGATATGCATGCATCTCGGGAAAGACCCGAGAAACGCTTGTCTCATCCTGCCTCCTGCTACGTATAGCATATCCAAGGATCAAGCTTAGTGTTCCTAGAAAACACGTTACTGATCTAACTTTATACACTTCTAATAAAGGCAATTCTTCATTATCCCTGAATAACTCAACTCTGTTTTACTGCCTCAAGTGTTATCTGACACACTGCAAATTTAGTAGATCTGTCCTTGTCCATCCCACAAGTGGGCCCTGATCTGTCTCCTCCCAGAGCTATCACAGGAGAGTGCTGAGCCCATTGTCTGTGTTTGAAACCAATGAAGAGGATGTAACCCACCTTAGTGACTGAAGGGTGGTGTTACCCGCAAAAGTATGAGACTTGTTATGAGATACAGGGGAAGAGAATCTAGGGATCATACAAAAATTACTCTGGGCTGCTTAGGGGAGGAAACAAAAGCACAGAGGAGGGATCGATGTAGTCTGGGGAGGAACAAACATGAGAAAATAGAATGATAAGGGGATAAAAGGGGCTGGTAGCATATAAACAGGCTGCTTGCCCTGCATCTGATCAGCAGCATCTGTCCTGTCTTCTTATTAAACTCCATTTCTAACTATTGTCCTGAAGGGTCTGTGTGTCTGTGGTGCCAGCAGTTGGACAGACTGGAGTGGCTACACCTACTACCACCAACTGAGGTGGGACTCTGGGTGTCAAATGCTCACATGCCCAGACACCAGCAACTGGGGGAGGTCAGGGGATCCAGGGGCTAGTTGCTTGGTAGACTGCATGCCTAAGCCCAGTTACGGGGGGATGTATTGTGCATACGTGTGGGTGTTAGTGTGAAATGTGGGTGTGTGAAGTAACTGGAAAGCCAGGGGTATCCCACTCTGGATAGACTGAGTGTCTAAGGCCAGTTACTGATGGAAGTATAATGTTCGTATGCATATGTGTGGGGGGATGTGTGTGTGTGTAGGTCTGATTACCAGAAACTGGAATGTGTCTGTGGGCATCCAGGACTAGTATGTGCAGGGGACAGCAACTTGAGAGACTTAGGATCCAGGGGCAGCTACTGGATAGACTAAACATCTAAGGCCAGCTACTGTAGGGATCCATATTGTATGTATATATACATTTTCCACCAATAGGCTTTCATCCTGGTCAGCCAGAGAGGGGAGCAGGATGAGGCCATTGGTGCTGCTTTTGTTTGAGTGCTATGTTTTCTCTGTGTGTTGGCTTTGCAAGTCAGCCTTGGGTACCTGCATATATGTATTATACGTGTGTGCAGGTGCGTGCATGTCTACACATGCTCAGCCTCACTACTGGCTGGACCTAGGGACACGTAACCTCCACCAGATGACCAGGTTTAGCAAACCCTAATGTCTTCTGATTTTTAGAAGACAAACAAATGATCAGAGAGATCAATATCCCTTAGCTATAAACAGTTTTTGCAAACAGCAAAGGTTGTCAATACAACTGAGCAGCTTTGTATGAAGTCAGCAGCAAGTGAGGTTCACAAATACACTGAGTATTTGTTGAAGTAAGGTAGAAATGTATACCACTTTATACATAAAATTAATATAATCATGGGGTGTTAAAAATTCTCTAATGTTTATCTAATCACTTTCAGTCCTAAAATATTTTGATTATTTTTTCATGCCTTCAGTCTGTCAAATATATTTATCACTACCCCAAAAGGTGGAGTTCAAACACTGATCAGAAGGTGTTCCAAAGTTATATTAAATGCACGGAAAAAGAGAAGTCTGTCTTAAATAATTTTTGTTAATTCTTTTTGAATTAGATGGACCTGACAAAATTTAGTGCTAGGATAAAAACCTAGCTGAATCCATCCTCCAGACACTTTTTTTGTCTTTAAGAACTCACAAAGAACAGGCTCTGAAGGACTGAGAAAACATGAACAACATATGCTTATTTTTAAGATGGGGTATGTGGGAGAAGAAACAAGATTAGGAGTTACAGAAAGTTCAACTTCAGAAAAATATGAGAACAAGCAAACTACTTGTAAGAAGACAGAAGGAAAAAACAGGTAGATAACAGATAACATGGATTTATCAAAAATAAATCGCACCAGATAAATCTGGGTTTTCTTTTTGATTATCTAACAGTGCTTTTTATGGGAGTAGAGCAAATTGTCACTCACCTTGCATGATATTTTTGTAAGCAATCTAGAGAAATATGGTCTAACTCAAATTGCTGTAGAATGGGTATAAATTTAGTAAAAAAATGTATTCTTAGTGTAGCTCACTACTGGGTAAGATTCTTTGACAGCCCTACCTACAACTAAGTATTTTTTTTAAGTCCTAAGATAAAATGCACATATTCTTATTACATTTTCCAGATGATACCATGCTGATCAAATGATTTTGACAAAGTTTTGATGAAAATAGGATGAAATCTAATAAGGACACTTACAAGACTACAGATGAAGGGAGAAACAATCAACTGCATAATTAGAAAGATTGGTGTCTAATGGTATGTGGTATTTTGCAGAGCAGGATTTGTAGCTGCATCAGGCCAGACATTGAACAATGTTAGGAGCGTCATGCTGTTGCAAAAAGGGAGACATCACACTGGCATGCATAAACAGAAGGACATCCTGTAAGATGTATGAAGTGGTCCTTCTGTTTTACCCACACTAGTAAATTCTTAGGAGCATGCTGTACAGAAGTACTGCAAAATTTTGGGTTTGAAACACTTTTTAAAAGATAGGGACCTACTGACACAGCCTGGGTGGAGACATACAGAATGAGCAGAGGTCTAGTCAACAAGACCTATGTAGAAAATGGACTCATTTAGGTTGCTGCAGTCTAGAGAAACAAAATACAAATGAGAACTGAGGGGGAAATGTTAACAGTCTTTAAGTACTTAAAAGACTGTTACAAAGGTGAATGCAACTCCTCTGTCCCCATGGTCATTACAGTAAGAAGCAACAATTTTAATTTGCAGCAGTGAATACTTACGTTAGATCACAGGCAAAACTTTTGTACCGATAAGGAAAACACAGTATGGTTATAGAATAACTGCAGCGGCTGTGGAAACGCTGCTACTGAATTACTGTAGGAACAGAATAGCAAACATCTAACCTACAGTCTTTGTGTGGGTAGGTAGTGTTCCTTACTGACAGTGGTTAGATAAAACATAGATGATCCCTTGAGGTACCCTCTACCTTGATTTTCCTGGAGTTCAATACAGTAACTATAAATTATGAAAACTAACAGCACTGCTCTTCTGGCCTCACCTATCAGTGAATCCGTGTTTCTGTCACTTTCTTCAGGGATCCCAATGATTTCCTGTTTATTCTTCTCAAAAGAAGATGCATCTTTAGGTCCAGGAGCTTCTGTCACATCATCATAACCATCTTCCAGGGTATTTCTAGGCAGTGGAGAGATGTCTGGAACAGTACAGGTATTAACTGTAACAGGGAGAGGTCTTCCGCTGGAGAGAGCAGTAGCTGATGATCCAGTGATAAGGGCCTGTGATACTGACATATCATGATGATAATGAACAATAAGAAACCAAGAATCCTCCTGAGGACTCTGAAGTATTCCAGACAACAATGATATAGCTCCAATAATTGTTATACGTTGCTGTAACAAGTAGAAAGCGGAAATCAACATGGAGAAGGGACAGGAGGGGGAAGATCTGGAGAAGGAGGCAGTAAGTGACAGGGTTTATTTCAGAGTAGGCTTCCCCATTACATTTCATAACTGCAAAATGATAAATTACTTCCTGTTTATCTCTGTGTAGCACTTACTTCCTTGACTTTTCATTGCTTTATCCACCTTCTGTAAAATTTTTCTGAAATGGTCTTGCTAAGTATCCACCCTTGTACATTTGCGTATGGACATGTGGCTACAAACTCAGGCCAAACCTTTGGAGAAAAATATCTGCAGATCGGCTTCTCTTCTCCAGGCTGAACAATTCCAACTCTCTCAGCCTTGTTTCATAGGAGGGGTGTTCCAGCCCTCTGATTTGTGTCACTCCTCTGGACCCATTCTAACAGTTCCATGTCTTTGCTGTACTGAAGACTACAGAACTGGATGCAGCACTTCAGGTGGGGTCTCACCAGAGTGGAGTAGAGGGGCAGAATCACCTCCCTTGACCTTCTGGCCATGCTTCTTTTAATGCAGGCCAGGATATGGTTGGCTTTCTAGGCTGCAAGTGCACATTGCTGGCTCATGTCCAATTTATCACCCACTAGTATCCCCAAGTCCAGGTTGCTCAAAGCCTCATCCAGCCTGTCCTTGAACCCCTCCAGGGATGGGGCATCCACAGCTTCTCTGGGCAACCTGTTCCAGTGCCTCACCACCCTCAGAGTAAAAAATTTCTTCCTACTACCTAACCTAAATCTAGCCTCTTTCAGCTCATAACCGTTGCCCCTCATCCTATTACTACTACACTCCCTGATGAAGAGTGCCTCCCCATCTCTCCTGTAGCCCCCTTCAGGTACTGGTAGGCTGCTATAAGGTCTCCCCAGGGCCTTCTCTTCTCCAGGCTAAACAACCCCAGGTCTCTCAGTTTGTCCTCATATGGGAGGTGCTCCAGCCCTCTGATCATCTTCATGGCCCTTGTCTAGATTTGCTCCAATGAGTCCATGTCTTTCTTATGTTGGGGGTCTCAGACCTGGATGCAGCAATCCAGCTGGGGCCTCACGAGAGTAGAGCAGAGGGGGAGAATCACATCCTTCAATCTGCTGGTCACACTTCTTTTGATGCAGCCCAGGATACAGTTGGCTTTCTGGGCTGCAAGTGCACTCTGCCAGCTCATGTTGAGCTTCTCATCAATTAACACCCCCAAGTCCTTCTCTTCAGGGCTGCTCTCAATCCATTCTCCTCCCACCCTGTATTTGTGCTTGGGATTGCCCCGACCCATGTGCAGGACCTTGCACTTGACCTTGTTGAACTTCATGAGGTTTGCACGGTCCCACCTCTCAAGCCTGTCCAGGTCCCTCTGGATGGCATCCCTTCTATTCAGCATGTCCACGCTTGGTGTCATTGGCAAACTTGCTAAAGGTGCAGTCATTCACACAGTCCATGTGTCTGACAAAGATGTTAAACAACACTGGTCCCAATATTGACCCTGTGGAACGCTGGGGTGTGTATATACATACACACATGAACACAGAAATAATACATATAGAAAATTAAAAGTCAGTCAAAGCACTTCTATTTCACTTTTTTCCTATTCAATCTGAATAGGAAAAAGAGATCTTATTTGGACTAATTGCCTTCTTGATGAGCATTTCAAAGTAAGTAAGGAAATTAAAAGCTTTTAGTTTAATTTTAAATAATAAAAAATTAATATAAGAAAAGCAATGAGAAATAAAATTAAAGGCAGCACAGGAGAGAGTCAGAGATATGGACAGCTGAAGTCCAAAACTGCTTGTGCCTTTCACACTTGATCACTCTGAGTCCAGGCATTGGCTAAGAGAGCTTTTTGATCAGCCCAGGAAAATGCATTCTTCTCCAAACACTTGCTTTCCCTCAGCTTTTTCAAATTAAAAAAAAAAAAAAAGTCACATCTGGCCAACTGCATTTTTTTTTTAGATCAAAATTTCCTAATCAACTCCATTGGTATGCCAACGTTCTTATTTGGAGCATGTTTTTCGGCTGTCTTAATTCTCCCCATTTATCTCAGAAATGAAGCAACAGTTTACAAGCTGTTACAGTTGCAATTTCTGTGAGAAGCAGTTATCAGATTGTTGGATTCATGTGACTGGATCCTCTGTAGAGTGCAGTACTACCAGCAAACCCTTATTTTCAACTTCTCATGTAGAAGAGAGGTCTAGCACTTGTATATGAGATTGTATGACATTCTTCCACCACAATAGTTAAACACAATTTTTTGGTTCACATCAAAACATTACTAGTTGACATGAAGTGCAGCAAGAAAAAAGTTTTAATCACCAATAATGCTTTGGAAATTAAAAGCTACCCTGATTTTGGATCTCTTTCTTTGTAGGATCACCATCTTTCATTACCTTGAGTTGCTCCAGGACCATTTTCTTCGTCACTGTCTCTGCTATAAAACTGTGCCTTTGTTTTTGAACTCTCTGAATAAGAATCTAGGCAAATGAGAAGGAGTGTTACATCATATTAAACTCTCCTTAGCTGCTAAGACTGCATCATGAGGAAAAGAGTAGGCTACAGTAATAACACCCAAGTCAAGCAGCTTCTTGGGCAGTTAGTATTTACTCCTGCAAGGTAAAGGGCTTACAGTGGAATAGCCAAGAATCCCGCAGGGGCTCCATAACACCTCTCCTTGCTCATGGGAAGGCAAGCCACAAAGGGAGAAAAACAGTCAACAGGAGGAAGCCTACAGAGATACAGAGCTACTGGGAGGGAGATAGAAATTATTCCTTTATTTGTCCCTGCTTTAAATAATTGCAGTGGAAGCCTTTTGTTTTGTTTTTGTTTTTTTTTTTTCTGTTTGTTTGACCTATACTGATCTCTGCTCTGTGGCTGCAGTGAGGACAGCACAAAGGAGAGGAATTGGCAGAATCCAAGTGATCTGGAAACCCCTCTCCTCAAATCTAGGAATTCTCAGTTTTCCAGTAGATTTGGGAACTGCAAAGTATCAGGCTGGGATCTGGACCACCAAGAAGAATTTTCCCTTGACAAGAGCAAGATACACAGACCTGAGAGACCAGTCATTCCCTGATTTTCCCTCATCGGGTTATAGTCAACCTCTTCATAGACAGCCTCAGTAAAGGGGTCATACGATAGTCTGGAGCCTGAAAGTAAAAAGGCAAGAATCACTCACACAGTATCTGCTCATACCCAGGCTAGAGTCATGAAAAGGAGAAGTGACCTAAAGGGGTCTACATAGTGTGGTTGGTACCCAGAAAGTCACTGAGAGGTGCCGACTGAGGATAAGCACTGCTAGGCTCTTTCACTGCAAGACGGTAGGTGAAAACCTCCTTGTGTCAGCAGATGCCATTCATCTCAGTCACCCATCCCCCCAGCCTCCTCAGCCACTTAAACACTTGCCAGCCATATGAAGGAGGCATTTCATACCAGTCCTGAGTGACTCACCTCTCTGCTGTGCCCTGGCACTTTGGATCAGTCCAGCAAGAATGGCAAGAACCAGGCAGAGGAGGGCCCCCAGGATGATGCAGAAGATGACAGGCATTGAAATTCTCATAGTGTCTGTTGCAGGGTGGTGGGGAGAGTCTGAATGGGAATGAAGAAGCAACAGGTAGAGAATCAGGTGACCCAAAGGGCTTCTCCTCTGTAGCCTTGTGGTGTGCCAATGCTAGAAGGCTGTGGCAAGTCACCTGCTGCCCAGTTGTGGGTCCTGCTTAAGCAGCTGGAATTCAGCACCTGGGGATAGTGCTACGCAAGCACTGACTTTACAAAAGGCTGTGGGAGATGCTTTCTGATGAGCTGGAATATACTGCTGATTTACCTCCTATGCAGTACCAGGGACATTAAATCCTCATTTGATGGGAGAAAGAAAGGAGGAAGAAGAAATGTTTTACCTGTTCTGGTGGGTGATGATGTTGTTTCTGTCACACCTGCAAAAGGAAAGAGATTAAGAAAGAGGCAAGTGTGAAAAATAGGGAGGAGATTTTTACATCATTTGTGAAGTTATTGTGGTCAAAATTATGAAGGGGCTAGTCACTGGGATATATGGCTGACATAATGTTCCTCTATTCACCTCCTTTGCAGATCTGTATAATGAACCAAAGGACTGGTCACTAACCGGAGCAATCCACAGCAGCATCTTCCTTATGATCACAGTTTTTTCTGAACAAGGGCTTGGCAGGACAGTACCAAAGAGACAGCTCTGTTCCTTTACAGTGCACCTTCTCCAACCAGATGGGACCAGTCCCTTCCCCGAAGGCAGCTTCACTCAGTGCAGACACAGCAGATCCACAACCCAGCTGCCTGCATACGACATTAGCATCTGCCATGTCCCAAGAATCATCACAGATTGTTCCCCAAGAACCTTGGTGCCAAATCTCCACTCTGCCTGAACATCCATCCTCTCCTCCTATGACTCGTAGCTTCTCCCTGTCTGCAAAACACAGAAACTTTCTGTATTGCTGAAACAGCAGACAGGTTCATAGGGACCAATAAGGAGAAACAAAGAGGCAGAGGTACCTGAACAACTTGTAGAGTTTGGACACTCAGCAAACGTGTCTGGAGACATTGCCTCTTTTCTTCCTGCAGAATTTGAATACTGAAGTAAATAATCTGATTATATCTGACAAGAGTGGGGGAGTGTAAAATGAATGAAAATTAATAATCAAGGGGTTTTTTTTCCTATTATATGTATATGGCCTATTTAGTACTTGGTGGGTCATTGACTATTGCTGTGAATTAAATAATCTTCCTGATGACTGTGCTTTCCTTCTTCTTGGGTGAGGCAGCTGCCATCCCTTTCAGGAGATCTGAATGCCAGCTAGAATTCATGTATCCTATAGAGGAAACCCACAGGTGTGAAATACTGTCATAAGAGCAGGCATTAGAAGTGAACCTTTAGAACTGAAGAATTCATACACTAGTCCATGGCTACATGCGTGCACGTGTGTACTTTTACATATGCGCTGACATACCTTCATACATGTAGAAACACATACATCCCTCTAGACTCCTTGAGAAGTCTGATCCTAATTCAGATCTCACAGACTGACTGTGTATCATAGAATTTTACTTTAAAAATATGCGAGGGAACCATCTTATCAGGGACTTCCCTGGGATTTCCACGGGGTAGCTGCATTTGGTGACACTCATGTAGTTTTAAGTCATTCGTTTACATCAGGGATATAGACAAAAAAAAAAAAAAAAGTGTGTGCCATTTGCATGTAACTAGAAATCATATATACCAGATAACAAACAAACATGAGGTAATTACTACAGTGTCCATGTGTGCATACATAGGTTTATGTATGTCTGGAGAGCCCTGTACAGATGCATTTCTAATTACCCGTGCAAGAAATATGGGTCTCTTCTGCTCGGTTATCACATGACTGAGGATGCCAGGGGTCTGACTGACATTGCCAGAGAGAGCTATGTTGCTCAGTGCACTCAATGTGGTCCAGCCACGTGGGCCCAGAACCGCTGCCATATTTGAAGTCTCTTGCGATTTCCCCGCCATCTCCACAGTTCAAGTGTTTGCACACAGTTGTTGCAGTGAGTTGAGACATGGAATTGGAGCAAATGCTCCCCCATGTCCCATTGTAGAAAACTTCTAGCCGCCCAGCACAGTCACTGCCATTCACAAGCCTCAGAGCCAGGAACTCTAGAAGTGAAGACATAAAAATGGAATTAGAGGGGCCTCATTCTGCTGGGAAATTGGCTGTGACAAATGAAATCCAGAATCTGTTAGCAATCCTATTCATCATTCTGAATGAGAAAATGCCAGAGGAAACCACTCCAAAAGTGACACTTAAAACCAAAAATTGTACAGTGATCCTCTCTGGTTAGCCAGCATTCACCAGCATCTACATAAACAAATAACAGTGATGGCCACACCCCACAGCTGCAGGCAAATTTCTTTGCTATGTTGAAGTATAGGTGCCATGTGCTCCTCTGATTTGTTGAAGTTTTGGTGTGCAATGATTTGTTTACAATAATTTCAGAGCCAGTTGCAGTCGCTTCCCTGCAGAAGCAGTGACTGAAACCCTGCCAGTTATAGCTAATACATTGCACCCCTCGCCCTCTGTGAAACACCTATTTAAGAAGTGATTGAACATACGTCCATTATAAACTCTACTTCACCATCATCATAACAATGAAATACATGCATTATAAACCCTATCCTCAGTCCCAGACAACAGGTATTGACATTGTAATGATGTGCACGTACAGTCAATAAAACGCTACCTATCATTCTGGGAACTACATTATAGGAGTGAACACCATACCAATCTCAATATGTATTTATTACAAAATTCATACCTTGTCCCTGCAAAACACATGAACAAGAATGTAGTTTATGAGTTAAAGTAATATTACTCTCTTTTATTTACTTTATGTAAAGGCACACATTTCATTGTCTTTTTCCAAAGACCAACCCCTGCTCTTCGAGCAATGGAGACCACTTTCTTAGGGATTTTTTACTGTTTCAGGCTTCCCAATCCAAACATCCTCTGGGCTGGCTAGTACTTTGCCCAGCTGAGCTCAGGTTTTCTTTTGGGCTGCTATGACAAGTTCCTGGCTCTAGATTAGCTAGCCATGCCGCTTCCTGGAGGTGAGGAAGGTGAAGATGTCATACATTCACTTGATACCCCTTTCCCTAGTGTTTTTAGCATGGGTTTAAGCAAACCATTGCACAGCTCTACTTTTCCAGCTGCCTGCTGTTGTACCCACTCTACTCATTCTTGGATGGTTGCATTTTTGTAATGACTTACATTGTCTCATGCCTGCCTAAGCGGCATTCTATGTTGCCAACAGATATATTTGTTTATTCCTTCTAGGATGCTACCTGCATGTACTGTCTGAGTGGGGAAAGCTTCTACCCACCCTTGTTACGCTCTGCCACTATGAGAACACCAGCATCTGCCAGTGGTTTGTGACTCTGACTCCAGAGTTCCAACAGTGTTTCTCATCTCTTGAGATGCTCATTGCCACAAGCTCCATTTGATGCTTTTATTTTTTGCATGTGTATATAACATTCTTTTTATCTTGCTACCTACCCACATTGGTCCTAATGCCGTGACATGGACTGCCCTCTGGTGATCAGCTCCAAGACTTGCTGGTGTTCCTCTTCCCACTCATGAGGCTTATCTCAGGTCACTTGATATGTCCAGAAGTGGGGGTAGCAGAAGGGAATGGTTTAAATAAGACCCCAGCTTTCTCCTGTGCTCACAGTGCTAGGTCTATGAAGGGCTTTTCCTCCCAGTCTCTCATATTGGCTCCCTTTTCTTTCAGATACATCTTAAAGTCCCATCTGTAGGAGGGGACATGCATAATTCTCATTCTCTCTTCATTTTTTTCCTGAGGTTGACCATACTGCTTGATTCTCATTACTATCCTCATCCGTGCTGTTAGTTTGCACTCTTCTTCCTGCAACCCCATTCCGGAATGGTATGTATAGGTCACTCCTTGATCAACAGGGCATTCCACTAGCTGGTACCAGAGGGGCATTAGTGACTGTGCCTAGCAATTGGAGATTTCAAGTCCTAGAATTAGTGATCACAAGCTTTTCAGGGTCCCTCTCTCTTTGTCTGTAATCACATTCCAGCAGTCCAGGAAATTGCAATTGATTATCTCCTTCTTCACAGTCCTTTCAAAGGGGTGTTTTGTTTGTAGGATCAGCATGAACAGGCACTGCTCAACATATCTCCCCATAAACTGATCCCAAAGCCCTCCTGCATTGTTCAAGACAGTGTTTACAAGTGGCTTATGCCCAAACTCCCCAAAGTCTTGCTATCTCAAGCTATCAGCTGTACCTCATCTGCTCTGGTGTCGCAGTAATGCCATAGCCACTTCAGAGAAGTGACTGTACATTTCTCCACATTTCTCTATCCATTTACACTCAGAGTAAAGACCCATTGAGTGGTCACAGTCTGGGGAACAGTGTACCCTTTTCTGTAGGACTCCTTAATTACTATAACAAGGGCTGCCTGAAAGGATTCATTTTTTAATTCATCAAGAGCCCCTAGTTTCCCCTCCCAAGGTGTCAAGGCCCCCTCCAAGTCCGTCAATTTAAGCTCTAGGTGCTCCTACAAGCAGCCAGAAGCTTGCAATTTGACCGCTTCAGTGTTTCTAGCTGCTGACTTCTGACCAGAATCCTCCCTTTTGTGCTGAACATGAGTTAATACAACTTTTACCAGACCATTACTCTGACAGAGACTGTCAACCAGATTTCCCAGCTCTGCTAAACTGTCCCAGTGCCTCTTGAAGCTCTGCTGTGAGAAAATGGTAGGCTCTGGTGTACCCCACAGCAAAGCAACACATTACTCTCTCGGGGTTTCACAGGCAATATAACGCCTTTGCATTTCCTGGGCTGATAGTCTCTGACAGAAAAATATCCAGGCTCCAGGCCACTGGAGTTCTTTCCAATCACCTTCCCCTCCAACAAGGTCTGTCACACTCTCCATTTCCCATCTGTTTACACTTAGTTTGTACCACCCTTGTTCCCCCCAAACCGCCACCTGCCAATGGGTGTTCCACTTGCATCACACAACAACAATTTTACAATATCAGAATCAAGGCTTCTCGGAAGCTTTGAAGTCACTACAAGTATTCCAGTCCCAGGACATGCCAGGTACTAGTGTTGCCAGAATGTCTCCCACATTTAGTCTGCTATCATGGGCAAAACACTTTCTATTTGGGAAATTTAGCTTAATTTTGTTTGTTGCACTTAATCTTAATTATTGCTTTGGGAAACGAGAAAAAAAAGAGAAAACATTAACAATTAAATAAACACTGAGGGAAACACCTTTGATTCACTTCATTAGTCCTAACTTCCTTTGTTTTCTCTCCCAGTTCCTTCAGTGAGGGTGTCAGTGCAGGAGGTTGTGGTTTTTTTCTGCTGTTCCTTGCTTCTTATTTATCTTCCTCTGTTCCAGCATGGATGCTCCAAAGGCTGCAGTCCCTTCAGGGTTTGTACTTGGTCCAACATGGCTGACCAACTGCCATCCACAGGTCCCTTCAGGGGTTGTACCTGCTCCATTGTACGCCCTCCACAGTCTGCAGTCCCTTCAGGAGTGTATCTGTTCCAGTGTGGCTTATCCACAGGCCACAGCCCTCTCAGAGGCATACCTCCTCTGGCATGGAAACTGTGTCTCCAGCCATGTCCCCAGCAGTGTCTTTTTCTACTTCCTCATTTCTCAGCTCTCTTGCAGGTGCCACTCTGTCTTAAATATGCAGGAGCAGATCCACCATATGCTCCTCTGATTGGTTGATGTTTTGGTGCTGTTGTGGTTTATAAAGCCACGGGGACAGTTTTGTTCTTAAACACCTGGTGGGCTGAGGCAGGGACAGGGAGGGTCTCACTCACCACTTAGGGTCACGGGCAAGAAACCAACACAACTTGGGAAGAACAAGAAAAACAATTGAATTTATTAACTACTTATAACAAGAAGCAGGATATTGAAAGAGAGAAAGCACATCTTAGAAAGGCACTTCTCCCCCACCCCTCCCTTCTTCCCAGGCCCAAAGGCTTTGTTCTGTACCTTCTCCCCCCCCGGCAGCACAGGGGGGCAGGGAGTGGGGGGTGCAGTCAGGTCATGTTGTCTTTCCCCTGATTCGAAACCCTGCTGCCACGTCGAGTCCCTTCCTCATGTTGAGAGCCCTTCTCTAGAACTTCTCCGACATGAGTCCTTTTCCAAACAGGGTTACGGTCCCCCGACAACTGCCGGCTCTGGCATGGGCTTCTAGTTCCTGCGTGGGGTCCTCCACGGCTGCTTCTCAATTCCAAATGGGTTTACAGTCGTGGCGTCCTCCACGGCTCTTCACCACGTGGCAG